ACGGGGGAGGGGGCGGGTACAGCTGGCTCTGCCTCTAGATAGGCAGAGCCAGCTGTCAGTCACGCAGCTGGGCGGATCCCGGCACAATTGTCAGGATCCGCTTCAGCTGCGGCGTCTCAGTATACCGCGAGCTATACTGCGGCGTCTCAGTATACCGCAAGCCATAGCTCGAGGTATACTGAGCCTAGGGTGACGGGAGGACGCTAGTTTGTGTCCTCCCATTACCCTAAGGAGAACTATGGGGAAAAGCCCTGACCTCATAGTTCTCCTTTAAGCTATTTGCTCCTGTTATGTGTTGTAGGTGTTGGTGGTTATATTTAGTGGGTGTCATGTTACTTATTCATGTTTGCTTTTGGGTGTTTTATTTGGTTGTGCTGTTTACAATAAACTGTATATAACGCATTTGCCTTGTCCAGTGTGGTCATACTGATTTGGTCCTCTTGCGTGGGTACCTCCTTGCGGTGTGGGGACACCTGCGCACGGTACCCTGACACACTCTCATTAGACTTTGTACACGTGTACCCTCAAATCTGGGTTCCCTTTTCAAAGGGGTGTCCCCGTCCCTGTGTGGATGGCGGCCAGCACCTCGTTTGGGTCTATGGTGATCCGAGGCTGAAAACAGCTGCAAGAGAAAGGGCCATCTCCACGTTTTATCAGGAGCGGGTTCGTTTTTTGCTGGTGTGATGCAATTGGAATTTTTAAATAACTCACACCTCATTCTATCAGCGTCCGTATGCTTCACGCTCATTACGAATGTACTAGAAAAGGAACGGCAACAATGTTTTTATTACTGGGAAAGATTGCGCTGTTCACAGAAATCTGGAAGCTGCTCCTAATCCCTCTCATTTTTTTCCCCCTGAATTTGTAATGTAAGCGGCAGATAACCTGGTACCTGGAAGAACCATTTCATCAACAACCATCACAGGAGAACTCCCATCAGGCTCTGTCATTGTGAGCCCTGATGAAGGCGGACCCTGCGAGGCCCCGAAAACGCTTGCATTGATGACGTTCTCAGCCATTAAAGGAGAACTATGGGGTCAGGGCTTTTCCCCATAGTTCTCCTTAGGGTAACGGGAGGACACAAACTAGCGTCCTCCCGTCACCCTAAGCTCAGAATACCGCGAGCTGTAGCTCCCTATATACTGAGACGCCGCAGCTGAAGCGGATCCTGACAATTGTGCCGTGATCCGCCCAGCTGCGTGACTGACAGCTGGCTCTGCCTATCTAGAGGCAGAGCCAGCTGTACCCG